TCCTCTAAGGTCGAGAAGGGGGAGTGTTGACATGTCATGGGGTTGTTAACCAATGTCATAAAACAGTATGTGTACTGACTGTTTAATGATAAGAAACTATTTGTTCTGTAAACCTTCATCTAAAGTACAATAAATATATATATACATATATGAAAAAATTATACATGCACAGAAGATTTCTGGAAGGTGACATAAAAACTGGTAATGGTGGTGGCCTCTGAGGTACAAGCTGGGAGTGTAATGTTGGATGTAGATTTGCTTTTCCTTGAACACCTTTCTGTAAAAACTGAACTTTTTTCCCCATGTGTATTACTTTTTCAATTAAACAAAAATGTTTGTTTTTAATAAAAGAATACAGAAATCACATACCACTACATCCTTAGCAGAAAAACACAGGGAAACATACCAGCTGAAGAATGAAGTTCCAAGAAAAATGATGCTTGTTTAACTATCATTGTGGATTTAAGGACTAAAATGGATATCCTAGAGCAAAAATAGTCCTTGGTCCTTAAATAACTCCTGTCTCCTCCATTACTCTCTAGAACCACAGGGACTAAGAAAAGGGGTCCACTTTCCAGACCTCACATTATCCAGCTGTTAACCGCCAGCGCCTATAAAACAAGAGCTGTTTTTACCTCCATCTCTCCAAGAGTAGGAGTGTTCTTATACTTGATGTGTTGGTTGGGATGAGGACTCTAAGGGAAGAACGGATGAGGGACTGACAATTATCCCTTATAATGCTCTTCTAGTTCTCACTTGTCTCTTTGGACAACTTTTTTCCTTTCATCCTAACACCATACATATAAATAGACTTTACAATTCACAAAGCACAGTTCCACTTTCTCATTAATTCTGCCAACAATCCAATCGGTATTATAATACTATTTTAGATGAGTCTCAGAGGGGGTCTCCAGCCCTACAAATGTTAGCTTTGTTCCTGGCACCACTACTTAACTCTCCAAACCTGGAGCTTTCCACTTTACAGCTTTCTCTCATCTCCCTGCACCAGCTCCTGATTCTGCCTCATCCTAGCCAATACTAAGCACCTGTGATCTTAGTCGCTACGGTTCTGGAGAGTAATGGAGGAGACAAGTGTCATTTAAGGACCAAGGACAAGCTGTTTTTCCTTCTGGGACAGACCTGAGTCTGTCTCTTTTAAGCATTATTCCTTTATTATTCTGCCTGAGAAAACAAAGTAGTGGGCCCTATAAACAGGATCTCTCTTACAAGTATTGGGTACCTACTATGCTATACCAACGTCCTAGACACTTCATTCACTTGATCTCACCCTGTAAAGGGAGGCTCTATTAGTACAAATAAGCCAACAAAACTCAGTGAAGGGAAGTCAGTTGTTTAACATCATGCAGCTGCTAAATTCCAGAGTAAGGACTCAAACCCCAGTGTCTGGCTTCACCGCACTTTCCAATGAAAGCTCTTAGGGTTCCATGGTTTGTTAAAGTGGTTAAAGACTCCAAAGACAACCTGAGAGTTCTTAAGCAGGTTAAGTTATGCTAGAAAAAAAAAGAGAAGGTCGCTATTCGGCTAATTCTCTTTTTTATTCTGTCCCTCACCTCTCTAAGATGAAAATGAACCTAAACTTCAGGGAGAAAGGATGGAGGCAGCATCAGCAAAGGAAGTGAATACTATGTAGAAGGGAAAGGCAGCCCCTGTGGATTGGGTGTTAGTCCTGGAAGGGCTGCCTTCTGAGGTTGCCAGGCAACAAGTGTAAACAGCAGAAGTGGCAGGATCATGGCCACTAACTACAGTGCTAACCAGGTAAATTCTCTTTCTCCATCTCTTCAATGTTTAACTTTGCCTTCCAGATCTACCTTTGGACTGACCCTTCACATAGGATTTTGATCACTGAATAGCTTATCTGAGTGTGGGCTGAGGTAGTATTTCACCTCCGCAGAGTAGGGAGGGCCCACAGACTAGCAAAGTCATTTCCGGGTTGAGTTTGTAGGGTTTAGACCAGGGGTCAGCAAACTGCTTTCTGTAAAAGGCCAGAGGGTAAATATTTTAGGCCTTATGGGCCAAGTGGCAAAATTAGATATAATATAGGTTCTTAAATAACAAGAGAAAACAAATTTCCATAAAATTTTTATTTACAAAATTCAAAACATAATAATAACTAAGTATAATTTTTGGTAATACAAGTTAACTAATGAAAAGAATGAAATTCTTTTGGGGGCAGAAAACATTTTGCTCAATTGGGATTCGAAGTTAATGTTCCCTTTGATCAAATCGATTGCAAATGTTTATCTATAAAAACCATTCTTAGCTCACAGGCCACCCTAAAAAGGCAGCAGCATGGATATGGCCTGTAGGCCATAGTCTCACCCCTGCTCTAGCCCAGCACTCTCGAATAAGAAGATAATGTGAGCCACAAATGTAATTTAAAAATTTCTAGTAGCCACATGGAAAAAAAAATAATTTAAGCAATATATTTAACTCAGCATATCTAAAACATTAACATGTAATCAATATTTTTAAAAGTATAAATCAGATATTTTACTTTTTTTTTTTTTTTTGGGTACTAAGTCTTCAAAATCTAGTGTATATTTTACAATTAAAAAGCACCTATTTTCAGACTAGTCACATTTGAAGTGCTCCATAGTCGTATGCGGCTAGAGGCTATCAGATTGGACAGTGCACTTCCAGACCAAACAAATGGCATCCTTTCTATAGTGAGTTAAAGCCTAGCATGGCTGTTCAGGCCTCTGGTCTTCAAATCTAAAACCTGTGCCTAGCCATCATTTCCTGGCCTTGGGGCCTTTGGTCCTCATAGAAATTCTCATCTTTCTTTCCTCAGTATGAAAAAGCTTTCTCACCCAAGTATCTGCAGAACTGGTCTCCTGCCAAGCCAACAAAAGAGGTATTCAGTGGATCCACAAGGCCAGTTTCTTGTTCTTTATGTCATGCTCTCTGTGACTCCCTGGGACAGAACTCCTTTTAGCCTTCTATAAACTCATTCTCTCTCCTCCCTCCCTTAATTCAAGCCCCTCAGACCTTTTCTCCCTCCTTTGCACTCTATCTCACAAGCACTATTCTCCTCCATCTCCACCCCAGAGCACCTCTTCCTATGAAGGCTACACTCAGATTATCGCCAATGATCGTGGTCATCTGTTGCCTTCAGTGCCCCGCTCCAAGGTGAGGTACCCATCTCCATTGCTATTACGAAAGGCAAAGAATTGAGGCACAGGACTGGGGTAACAAAGGGGTAGATTTGCAATCTCCCATAGCCACTATCTGGAAAACCAAAGTTCAATCTATTTCACATTGTAACACAAGTGCCCACAAACTTATGGGCAGTTTATCCAACAGGACAGAGTTGTGTTTAGCACCAGAAATCGTTGAACTGATGAATAATCTGTAGAAAAAGAATGCCCTCAGATGATGATATTTATGCAGTGGGTACTACTTTGCCAAACTGAGCCTAAGGATGCAGAGTTTAAGCGGGCAGAGGGAAGGGGAAGAAAAATTAGGGGAACCTACGTGAAGGCAGGGAACAGGAATGAGTGGGGAGATTACGCTTTCAGTCGTTTCATTATCATGCATTCCCAAAGGTAAGGGCTGGAAATCGTGAACAGAGGCCCTGCCATTAGGTCAGTTATTAGGAGTGAGGAGTCTTGTCTTTTTCCTTTTAGGCAAATCCTTGGGGTTGCTTCATAGGTACCTGGCAAATGCCTCTGAAGATACCCCCCGCTCGGGTGACTCTGACCTCCCGTACAATTGCTGGTGCTGCCTCCCTCACCAAATGGATACAGAAAAATCCTGATTTGCTCAAGGCCTCCAATGGACTACGTCCTGAAATCTTAGGCAAGGTATCTATTCCTCCCACTTAACCCCAAACCCTATTGTCTCAATTTCTTTTCAATCTCAAAACTACCTACTGTTATACCACCACTATCCCAGCAGGCGAGACCTCTAACAAACTGTCTTATCCTGTCTAATCCCTAATCACCTTCTGAGAGGACTGAAGGACATTTTACCCCAAGAGTAGGAAATGATCTAATATCAAGGAGAGGTTGTTGTTGTGTGCCATCAAGTTGATTCTGACTCATACTGACCCTGTATGTCAGAGTACAACTGCCCCATAGAGTTCCTAGGCTATAATCTGTATGGGGGAAACCCTGGTGGTGTAGTGGTTAAGAGCTACGGCTGCTCAAGAGACAGAACGGCCACGTACACCAGAGACTTCATCAGCCTGAGGCCAGAACAACTAGATGGTGCCTGGCTACCACCAATGACTGCCCTGACAGGGAACACAACAGAGAGTCCCTGATGGAGCAGGAGAAAGGTGGGGTGTAGAACTCAAATTCTAGTAAAAAGACCAGACTTAATGGTCTGAGACTGGAGGAACCCTGGAAAGCATGCCCCCCGGATTCTCTATCAGCCCAGAACTAAAACAATTTCCGAGGCCAACTCTTCAGACAAAAATTGGACTGGACTGTGGGGCATAAAATGATACTCATGAAGAGTGTGCTTCTCAGCTCAAGTAGATACATGAGATTAAACGGGCAGCTTCTGTCCAGAGGTGAGATGAGAAGGCAGAGAGGGTTAGGAGCTGGTTGAGTGGACATGGGAAATCAGGGGTGGAAGGGAGGAGTGTGCTGTCACAGTATAGGGAGAGCAATTAGGGTCACATAACAATGTATGTATAAATTTTTGTATAAGAGACTAACTTGAAGTGTAAACGTTCACTTAAACTACAACAATAAACAAAAAAAGAAAAATTTGGAAAAAAAAAAAGAGCTATGGCTGCTAACCAAAAGGTTGGCAGTTCGAATCCACCAGGCACTCCTTGGAAACCCTACGGGGCAGTTCTACTCTGTCCTGTAGGGTCGCTATGAGTTGGAATCGACTCGATGGCAGCAAGTTTTTGTTTTGTTTTTTTAAATCTTCTTGGGAGCAGACTGCCAGATCTTTCCTCCCACAGAGTGGGGCTAGTGGGTTCGAAACAAATGACCTTTCAGTTAGCAGCTGAGCACTTAACAACTGCCCTACCAGGTCTCCTTAAGGAGAGGTTAAGTGAATCAAATTTAACTCTTCTTATTTGAAACCTGACCTTTTGCCCGTGGTATGTGGAGAAAGTAAGTTAGAATTCTGAGGTGGACTGGGAACGATCTGGGCTTGACCATAAACATAACTGTCTTTTCCACTCCACTTCTGGCAGGCCCATGATCCAGAAAGTCAGAAGAAACTCGGGAAGAAGACTATCACAAAGACTGTACAACAAGCAGCAAGTACAACCGTAATCCCGAACTCCCCAGCCACAAGCTGTAATTGCCCCAATCAACTGCAAAGCCCACACCCCTCTGCAGGTCACACTCCAGCTTTCCAAAGCCCACCCAACTCTCCTAAGAGCCCACCTGGAAGTCCCTGTATGCCAGAACACTGGGAAGGTCCTGATCTAGCCGAGGTCCCAAAATGCAAACCTGGAACTCCAGAAGGGACTAACAGCCACACTGAGAAAACCTGTCTAGAGACTGAGTAAAGTAAGCAAGACCCCCAGTCAGGACTGTGAAAACAGGGAAATCACGGGGTGGGAGCAGAGGCAAATTCAGAAAATAAACATTGTTGAATCTTCTACTGATCTGGATTTTCTCAGCCTGCTATGGCAGCCTCTTATAACCCATAACTAAGAGAAGGAAGGTTAGGGGGAAATGGAGTAGGGAAGAGCATGACAATGGCTTGGGGTTTCCACAAGGAATGAGTCAGTTATACTCCAGAAATGATCACCAAGAAGTTGATCTGAATCACAGCAGAAGGGTAGAACCTCAAAGAACAATCCCCCCACCTCCACCCCTCCTTCATCCCGGGCTTGAGCTCCAACTTTGAAAAGGAAAGGTTCCCGTTTTCTAGGATATCTGTCCCAACCTCAGTAAAGGGAAGTGACCTTGGAGAGAAGGAGAGCATGCATAACTACAACTTCAAAGTCAGAAGTGTAATTGTTTAGTAGAGTTTGTGTATGTGTGTTTGGAGAAGGTGGGGAAGAAAAGGTGGGGGAAAGCCAAAGTAGAAGACACTCTCCTTGTCTAAGACTTCATAACTAATTGATGACAGAATGTATAAGGAAAACAAATTGGAAAGAGTTACAAAAGCAGAACTCAAGTAAAAGTACAAATATAGTTTGCAAACTGAAGATACAGAAGGGACAGGAGAACAGCAAAGAAAAACAAAGGGAGATGGTAGGTAGGAATTTAGGGCAGAATAACAAACATGATGACAGCTCTGCCACCCCCTCCCACTACCAATCACCTGAACGGTAAGAAGCCACCAAAAGGTCAAGAAGTCTCCTACCCATTTCTCAGCCTCCAACATCTCTTGATCACTAACCGCATTCTGCATCTGTTAAATTTAATGCCCTTGCCAAACCTTTCCCAGTCCTAGTACCAAAGTGTTCTCTTATGAACACCTGTCCCTCACTCCGAGGTCAGAAAGTAGAGACAACAGCTGGTTTAAGCTAAATCAGGGCTATAACGATTTCCCTGATCCAGTCTAGCAAAAAAGAAGAAGAGAATATTACTTAAGACCAAAGACTATTCTGGAGCTAGAATGAAGGCTGTCTTAGCTAAAGTAAGGTTCTCCTCTACATCTGATACTACCTACACTCACTGTTACCTCTCCCCACTGCAGGCTTGAACTGGATGACCAACAACTCAGAGGTATAGACTAGATAGATCTGTTACCCAAAGTTTCCAAAGACTATCAAAACAGCACTCCTACCAAGGGAGTTAGGGACTCAGAAACTGGGCCTATATGGATTATAAAGTCAGCAACATCTCTCATTCAACTGCAAATTTTTGTCAGGTTTTCAACCATCCTTCCTTTCTCATCTCTGCTCTCCTGTCTCTCCACATATATACTCTTAGCTCATCCCTCAGCTTTCACCTCCACTGGTCCCCTGCCTCCCTCACTGGACCATAAATTGGTGAACAGTCCCATGAGGCTGTTCATAATCAGCTCCCACCAGGATTTGGAGTCTGTAATAACCCAAAAGCTCTCTAAATGCTTAACTCCCTTTTTCTTGCTCCTTCTTTCTCTGAGGCTTCTACATGATATTTAAATCTCTGGCTACTTGTATTTGATTCCCTGAAGATTTTTTCAGTGGTCAGTCACAGGACAAACTGTTTCCCTCCTGGGAAAGGTCAGACTGGGGGGCGTAAATGCTTGAGACCAGAGGGAGGGGAGGAAATTGGCTCCCCCTCAATCGCGTTCTCCCAGTTTCTCTAGATTTCAAGGAGAGTCAAAGACAAAATGAGTATTTTAATTCAGTTTCAGAAAAATATGTGACAAGAACATGACATTGGGAGGCTTGTTTTCCTGGAAATGCGAAGAAAAGAAAAAAACTCTTAATACATTCAATGATAAGGTTCAACGATACGTTCAATGGATGTTCCTGTTGCATCAAAAGCTGTATGTCCTCTCTCCAAAGCACCTGCTCCGAGGGCCAACTCACCCTCTTTATCTCCCTCTAGCCGGGACAGGCTAATTTCCCCCACCCCCTCTTCTTTCAGTCACAATGTGTGGGTGCTAAAGACCCTAGGCTCTGACCAATGAACAGAACTGTCCTTTAAGCCAGCAACCCACAGGCAGTGGCACCCAAAGCCCCACCCCCAGTTCACAGGGTAGAGGCCACAGAGCTGGCATTGTTTCCACTGTCTCAGGAAGAAGGAGCCAAAAGCTGACCCTCAGCACAAATCAAAGCCCAGTATGGAGAGAGAATAAAGGCTCCTAGGCCCAGAGTAAGCTACAACCTGGGGGCAGGAAAAGGGAGTTTTTGCAGCCATTTCATCTTTAGAAACAAAGGGAAAACGGGACCCTTTTCCATTACTTTGGTTTTATTAAGTTCTCTACTATTAGTGAGCTCCAAGGGGATTTGCAAGCACAAAAGGGTTTAATCAAATCAGGAGAACTTCGCCCTGGCTGGAGATAGGAGTAACAAACAGGAAGAAAGGTCGACGTAATAATTTGTAGGAAGATGTTGGTAACCTCAGCTCTTCACATGGCTGCCAGCCCTAGAGAGGACAACACAGTGAGAATGAAGACAGCTACTCCAGACTGGTACAGCTGGGGAATCTTCAGGCCTTTTCCTAGGTCCCACATCTGTAAAAAAGCAAAAAAAAAGAATTTCAGCAATCAGGGCCCTGGTCACTCTCATAGCTCCTTTCTCAGAAAGGAATTCCACCTAGTTTCAGCATAATTCCGGAGAAAAAGCACTTCTACCCTTATGCCCCACCTTCATCCTTCTAAAAACCCACAACATGGTACCCACCGCCCACTTATCCCAGTGACAGAAAAGGCATCCTCAGCCCCTATATACAAAAGCTTCCAGGCTAAATAGATAAAACTTTTCCCCATAACAATATATCCACATCAGTGTTTCCCAAAGTACATTCCTCCAAAATCTTGTTCCTCAGAATGTTGAAAGGCATTATATGAGGAAAAAAAAGTTCTGTGTTCAAACAAATTCGGTAAACACTTAACTGTAAGACGTCTCAAATAATTTGCTAAGACATATATTTTAAATTGGAATCCAGTAGATAGAACATTCATGAAATAATAAACAACACTTACACTATCAGTATGTGTGCTGCATTCTACATTTTCTATTCTACTGAACTTTGTTGTTGTTAGCAACCCACTAACTTGATTTTATACCCACTGGGTCAAAATCCACAATTTTAAAAACACTTATCTAGACTCTTTTGTGCCCTAGGGATTTTTTTTATTGTTGTAAAATATATATATAACACAACACTTGGCAATCCAACACTTTTCAGGTGTACGATTTAGTGGTATCAACTGCATTATTCATGCTGCGCATCTACCACCCATAATCAATGCCAAAGTTCCCACGCCCTAGGGACAGTAACTATTACGTGAAATCACTAAAAAATCCCCTCGGGCAAAAATTAGGTCTTCAAGTTCCACACTTTCCATACACATGGTCACCTCAACATACACATATACCCATAATCTGACTGTAAAACTGACTAAATTAGAAGTCATTTCAGAGAAAAGTTGGAGAGACCCCAGAAAAAAATCAAGATGAGAAGATGCCCCCATCTCAACACTGAAATAACTTCTACCTAGATCAGATTAGGAGTCAAGCAGATTCCACAAAGAGCTGTTTGGCTGATACAGGTATGGTGTTGCATAAATCCTAAGGTCTTATTGGATGGTGGTAGTAGAGGGGATACTCTAGGATGCCACAGACCCTATCACTTCCTACTCTCTTACATCAATCCCACTCTCCACTCCCTGATTAGATCTTCTACCAAGGCAAATATTAAGCCCAGAAGCCAAGAATGAGGGACTGTTAGAGAAAACAGATTAAAGTCCTGACCCACACTCAGAGCCAGTATTTGCCAGAAGAAAAAATAAAAGCAGATTTAAGGGCTTAAGAAAAGCCTTTAGGTTCCTTACTTCTCTCAACAAAGAGATTACCATTATAGGCAGAAACCAGGAGGGCAAAGATTAGACTGAGTTCTGGGATTCTGCAAAACCTCCTCCCCTCTTCTGTCCCCTATATACTGAGACAAAAGCAAATAGATGGCAAGTCCCTTGCCTGAGCCAGGATGTGAACAGAGAAAGCTGATCAGCTGATTTTCATTAGAAAGCTCTGTTCTGTGGAATAAGAAGGCATTAATGGAAATACCCTCCCTCTCCACTTTCTCCCCCTCAGGGAAGTGAAAAGTCATTTTAAATCAAACTGAACACTGCCCCTGGGAACAGCTAATAGATATACTTAATTTAATAGGTTGTTTAGTCACTCATGTTTCTGGTTCCATTGAACCGTCTGCTGAATCAGACTGAAATTCAGAAAGTGCCTGTCTCTAGGCTCTGATGTAGAAATTATAAAACGTCAAATTAAAGCAAGAGCATCCATTTGACAAGATGGTTCAGGTTCAGAGGTAACCTAATACCCTAGGCTCCATTCTCTTCAATAGCTTTAAAAACAAACAAACAAACAAAAAACAGTTAATACAGTCCAATGTCAAGATGACAAAAATTAATATAACTGACTCCAGCTAGACGAGGCGCTCTGGGTTGCCAGGAATCCTTGACTGAAAGGAGCAACCATGTTTATCTAGCTTATAACTGAATCCCTAGCATCTACAAGTGCTTAACACATGACAGGTACTAATTAGTATTTGTCTTATACAGTCGGCCCTACGTATCCATGGGTTCAACCAACTGCAGACTGAAAATATTAAAAAAAAAAAAAAAAGTTCCTGTGGTGTAATGAGTTATTTAATATGGCCCTTCTAGCCATGATCTTTGTGACTCATACAGGATGACTGACTGGGACTATGAAAATAAGGTATATGGAACCCGTGATGGTTGGGGTTATGTGTCAACTTGGCTAAGCCATGATTCCCAGTACTGTATGGTTGTCCTCCATTTTGTGATCTGATATAATTATCCTCCATTTTATGTGTTATAAATCCTAACCTCTATATGTTAATGAGGCAGGATTAGTGCGGGGTGGGACTCAAGTCCCACCCTTTACTCAAGTTATACCGTTCCCTGGGGTGTGTCCTGTATCCAAGGTAATACATGTGGGTGCCCTGGTGGGGCTCTCTCTCTGTGCATCTGGATCCTACAACCAGTTCATCACTGTCTGACCTCTGGTTTTTGGGACTTGAGTCAGCGGCCTGCCGATTCTGGGATTTGCTGCTTTTGCATCCCTGTGGGCCAACGGCCTATCATCTGACCTAACTCACCAACTTCCGCAGCCTTGTGAGCCAGCAGCCTATGGTCTGACCTGCTGGTCCCTGCAGACACGAGGGTATGGAGAAGCCGACACCTGACCCACGGATTTGGAACTCGCCAGCCTCCACAACCATGTGAGCCATTCCCTTGATCTGGTTCGTGAGCTGAGTGAGACGTTGCTGTGAATTACAGAACTCAAAGATGGGAGGGAGAGTACTAAGGGGAGAAGGAGTAGCTGATGTTAGAGATGATGAAGTGGGACAGCAATTTGGGAAAGTCAGACATTTGGGACATTTTTAACCTCCGCCTCATAGGAACCAGCTTTGTGCTAATCCTTAGAAAAGAAATTATCCATTTATTTGGTATCAGAATGGTGGGTTTTGCTGCAACGGTCCAGACTTGCTGGAATATGTGGTTTCGGGGAAAAGGGGATAAACAGAAGAATGAGAAACCTTTGGTTTCTAGATGGGATAAAAAACACCCATGGATTGAAGCAGCTGTTATGTTGTAATCAGTTACCCAAGGCAAAAGCTACTCATGGGAATTAGGAGTGGTGGATCTAACTCCTGAGGAATTAGCCAGTTGGATGTAAACAGAAATAGCAGTGATAAGGGAAGGGCCAGACATACAATCTCTTGGTTTCTGTTATCAGTAATAGCTGCAATGGCAGGGAAAAAGAATGCAGGGGTGGATTTTAGCACTGAACCAAGCCCAGATCCAGTCTGGTCGGAGTTAAGACCGCTAGTCTCAGGGCCAATCCTGAAAGGAAAAATCATGTCAGAACAACAGGAAGCACCCCTACGACCACTGGCCACCAAGAAGGTAGTCCAGGAGGGGAACGGGCAAAATCAAGAAACTAATGAAAGCAGGGTATAGAGTGTAAAGGAGTTGCTTCAATTTGTAGATTCGTATGGTCAGCTTCCTGAGGAATCATTATTAAAATGGTTTGTGAGAGTGACTAATTTAGGGGCAATGTCTTTAGTTTTGATGCTGCAGAATGGAAGAGTACGTCTGGGTTGATGCAGGACCCACAACCACTATGGAACAGTCACGAATGATGATGTAAGATCCAGTTACACAGCCTGGTGGACTGGTAAAATTTGCAGTGAGATTTGTCTACACTGAGAAGGGAAACGGCCCCTCTCCCCCTCTAACCTACCCAATGGAACACTCCAGAGGAAGCAGCTCATGTGCTGCTTATGCAAGCCATGCTGGAATGGCTTTATGGTGATTAGGGTGTTCATGCAATGAGTATGCCCCTTACACAGGTCACGGCAGATATGGTAATCAAGGGAGCCCCTTCTACATGGGCACCCCACGTAACCTTGCTGCTGCGAAACAAAGCAACAATCCAAGAAGCCTTTTCGGATCTGTTGGCACAGCTTCCCCACACGGGTCTTACAGATGCAAGAAACACAAGGGTGATTCATTTAGTTCCAAAAAGCAAATCTTGAATTTGCCGCATGGTGAGCACTATGCTGAATCCACGGGAATGAAATGATGTGTAGGCATACCCTGCTGTAGCCTTCCACCATTTTGCATCTTTAGTCTCTCGAGCGCTCACTGTTTGAGCACTGTTCGCCTCTTGTCTTGCCATTATTCCCTAAACAATACAGTACTGTATAACAACTATTTACAAAGCATTTACACTGTATTAGGTATTATAAGTAATCTAGAGATGATTTAAAGTATACAGGAGGATGTGCGCAGGTTATACGCCAAAACTACGCCATTTCACATAAGGGACTTGAGCATCCAGGATTTTGGTATGGGGAGAGGAGGGGCCTGGAACCAGTCCCCGAGGGACTGTATGCCTTCTATGCTAGGGTTTCTTTTAGTAATGTCCCTCTTAAAACTGGAAGTTTACACTGAGACCCTGGCCCACACTCACCGCTCAGCTATACCACCAGCAGGGCTGCAAAGGAATGCTCAGAGGGCCTTGTTTATCTTTCCCCTAAGAGGTTCCTGAGCAAAGGTCCAGCACAACTAACCTTAAGAATAGCAATAAACCAAGACAGGAAGGATATAATCCTCCCAGCCTCCCCACTCCCTTCAGCCAGAAAATATGCAAATATACAATTAACTTACCAAGTGTCGTATCCCATTCCAGGTGTGATACATGAGAGGAGAGACGAGTGCAAACTTAGCTGTGTAGATCACTGCTGGCCCCAGACACAGGGACTTCACGAGTTCCAAATGAGACTCAAAGTTCCCAGGGACCAACAGGGCAGATAAGCCAAAAAGAGAGACTCCTGAGGAGAAAAAAAGCCCATCATAGCTGCCCACTAGTTATAACTAATATATCACAGAAAACTGGGTTCTAAGAGAGCATGAGATATATTTTCAAATGCGCAAGATTTAAACTAACGTTCAAGTTGGTAGTGGGAGATAGGCTATTTGGGATCTGATCCTAATCTCCTAAATTTATCATACATTTTGGCTCATTATGCCTCCTCTCAACATCCCTCTCTGTAAAAACCTCAGCTGCCACATTAGAGATCACCCTGCACCTTCATCATCATCTCAATAAGAAAAAGTAAAAACAGTATATTCAGTCCAAAGACTCAGAAAAAATTTTAAATCATTTAAATCTTTCCCATACAAAAATTGACTCAAAATCGATCAGAATCCTAAATGTAAGACCTAAAACTATAAAACTCTTAGAAGAAAATGTAGGAGTAAATCTTTGTTCCCCTGGATTAGTTAATGGTTTCTTAGACATGGCACCAAGACCACGAACAACAAAAGAAAAAAAACAGATAAACTGGACTTCATTAAAATTAAAAATGTTTGTGTCAAAAAAAAAAAAATGTTTATGCTACAAATAATTCCACTGAGAAAGTAAAAAGATAACTCATAGAATGGGAGAAAACATTTGCAATCATATGTCTGATGAGGGACTTGTATTCAGAACTTACAATTTAACAATAAAAGACAACCCAACTAAAAAATGGGTAAACAATCTCAATAGACATTTCTCCAGAGAAGATACACAAATGGCCAATAAGAACATGAAAAGATGCCCAACGTCATTAGCCATTATGGAAATGCAAATCAAAACCATAATGAAATACCACTTCACATCCACTAGGATGGCTATAATCAAAAAGACAGATAATAACAAGTGTTGGTGAGAATGCCAAGAAATTGCAACTCTCACACGTTGCTGGTAGAACTGTAAAATGGTGCAGTCACTTCAGGAAACAATACGGCAGTTACTGTTAAACAAAGAGTTACTATATACCCAGCAATTCCACTCTTAGGTATATACCCAAGAGAAATGAAACATACATCTACACAAAAACTCGTACTTGAATGTTCGCAGCAGTGTTATTCATAATAGTCAAAATAATCCAAATGCCCAACTGATGGATAAATTAATTGTGGAATATGCATATGACAGAATATTATTAGGCCATAAAAAGGAATGAAGTACTGATACATGCTACAACACGGATGAACCTTAAAAACATTATGCTAAGTAAAAGAAGTCAGTCACAAAGGACCACGTATTATATGATTTCATTCATATGAAGTGTTCAGCATAGGCAAGCTTATAGACAGAAAGTAAATTAGTGGGAGTCTAGGGCTGGAATGGGGCTGGGGTATGGAGGTTCCTTTTCAGGGTGATAAAATGTTCTCAAATTGATTGCGGTGGGTTGTACAACTCTGTAAATATACTAAAACCCACTGAATTTATACACTTTAAAGGGGTGCAGTATATGGTTTGTGAATTATATCTCAATAAAGTTCTTTAAAAAATCTCAACCGTTGATAGCTGTTACCTAGCTTCTACTCTCAAACATGTCCATCAGTAATTAGTGAGTCTACACAGTAGGATGAAAGGACATACCTATTGAAAATATACAGGATTATTTTAACAAGCATTTATTCTCAATTTCTACTTATGTCGGAAGAGTGATTAGAATCATGACCATTTGACACTAGACAGAACCTCCTGACAGTAAGATTATTGAAACGATTAAGCAATCCTTTCCAAGATCTTAAAGAATACAAAATATTCATATAGTTGGGGATGGAAAACAGGATGTAGAGAACATAACTTCTAGAGGTCAATTCTAATTCTACTGCTGTCAAATGTAGCAAACATGTAGTCTTTTATATCTTGCAGAGACACTTACTGAGAGCATACTATGTGCTAAACTTGTGCTAAGCTTTGGAGAGAGAAAAATAACTTCATGGTTTCTGCTCTTCAGAAGTTTACAGTCTAGAAGCTCAACCAGGCAGACGAGCCCAAATGGGCACACCAGCCCAGGGGCAAGGACGAGAAGGCAGGCGGGGACAGGAAAGCTGGACGAATGGAAATGGGGAAGCCAAGGTCGAGAAGGGGAGAGTGTTGACATGTCATGGGGTTGGCAACAAATGTCACAAAACAATATGTGTATTATTGTATTGTAAGTATTCTCATTGCTTAATGACAAACTAAAAATTGCTCTATAAACCTTCACCTAAAGCACAATTAAAAATAAAAACTTTATAGTCTAGTAGGGGAGACAATCTGCAGTCCAGGGTGACAGCACAGGTAGATTTGTGCACAGAGTGCTAAGGAACACAGAGTAAAAGCATCAGAATCCATCTGGTGGGAGGGGCAGAGTATCCTGAAAGGCTCTGCTCAGAGGTGTACTTAAGCTAACTTTTGAGGAAAGAGGTGGGGGGAAGGGAAGTGGGGAGTGGCAGGATCCAAGGCTAGAAAGACAAGCAGGGTTCGAATCATAAAGGGCCTTATGTGCTAAATTGAGTTTAAACTTGATCGTGTGGGTCAAGGACGACAAACAGATTTCATCTCAGTGCCAATCCATATCAATTAGTAATGGCAGCCTACAGTGCAATGGATTGCTTTTATATGGCCTTTCTTGCCGTGTTCTTGTAACTCCCACCAAATGACTGAGTGGGACAACGCAAATGAGGTGCTTCTGGCCCACCAAGGGGATTGGCCAGCTTGCTAATAATGCAAATAAGGAGCATGGCACCCTTGAGGGGGTAGGACCATGCAAAGAAGGTGTACGGAATCCTAACGAGGAGATCGGTCAGTTTTGCCATCCCGCTAGGCTTATAATGAGCCATCCCTGAGGCAGAAAGGTGGAGGGGGGGCCTTACTACCACCAAAAAAAAGGAGACGGGAGCAGAGCACATCCTTTAGACCTGGGGTTCCTGCACTAAGAACCTTCTAGACCCCAGAGACAGACAGAAAGAGCTGTAACACCAGAGACAGTATAAGACAGTGAGAAGCAGTGGCAAAGAAACAAGTGGCAGGAGAACCAGGAGACTGACGTGAGATGGTGCAGGGGCCTCCTGGCCCACGGAGCAAGAGAGCTGAGCACCTTTGGGAAGGAGGCTTGCTGGTGCAGTAGGATACCAGGGAGAGGCCTGTCTGAGGGGACGGCTGAGAAGAGGCTGTCCTGATCTACAAACTGTATCCTGAGTTGTTCCAGATCCTGAATTGTAACCTGTCACTTCCCTAATAAATCCCATAACTGTGAATACGGTCTGTGAGTTCTGTGTAACCACTGCAACGAATTATTGAACCCAGCAGAGTAAAGAGTGCTGTGGAAGGGATGGCTGGTGTCAGAATTAGAAAAAAGGTAGGAGAGAAGGAGGTATGTCTGACCTTTACCTCACAGGAATCAGCTTTGGGCTGATGGTGATTCTCTTTCCCCCTTGTGAAGTTAGAGGAGGTCAGATGCCCCTGCCATGCCATTTTTACATTGTCTAACAAGCTATAGTGAGAAGGATTCTTAAGTCATATCAAGGTTTATATGGAAAGAATGATGATCTCTGACCTCAGAATGAAGGGACGGTTACTTGGGTCAAATACTGCCACCCCTAACAGGACTGAAGAATCATTAAAGAGTTTTAAACTGGAGGGTGACATGGTCAGATGTCATGCTTTAAAAAGATCAACCTGGCAGCAATGGGGGGTGGATTAGAGAGTAGTCAGAATAAAGGTAGGAAGTGTGAATAGGGGGCTATGTTAGTCCATGTCTTCAACTGAGACAGTGAAAACAGCTTGATCTAAGATAGTAACAGGAAGAATGGAGAAGGGAAAACCAAATATGATATAAAGGAGGTAAAATTTCAGGGTGAGAAGATGAACAAGATAAGTCAAGAATGGTGTTAGCATGTGCTACTGACTGGATAATGCCCTTCACCCACACGGGGAACAAAGAAGCAGAAGCAGGTTATTTTTAGGTTATGTAGTTTAGTTTTTATTTGTCTGGGGATCAATGTTGATATGGGGGGGGAGATTAAAGTTAGACTCTGTTTGAGTTTAAGGTGCCTAAGAAACATCAATAAACATTCAATAAATGATTGGATAAAGATATAAAGCTAGCTGAGTTCCGGTTTAAAGATACAGATTAGGGCATTATCAGCATGTAAGTGATAAGTGAAGTTTTAAGTCCAGAGAGGGTAACTCAAGAGTATAGGTGGTCCCTGACTTACAATGGGGTTTCATTCTGACAACTCTTTTGTAAGTTAGTTCTGACATAAGTCAAATACTTCTTCCTTTGTTTTAGTTTTCATTATTATTGCCTTTTATTATCCGCATCTTTATAACCCAGCAATTTTTGAACAGTAAATCATACAATTGAACATATGCGAGTGAACATCTGAGAATGACAACATCAACAAATTACATGCTGCAACACATTACTAACGATAAGATGTACCCCCCTCCCCACAAAAAAAAGACGGTCATAAGTGTGGTTCATCGTAACTCAAATACATCGTAAATCGGGGACTACCTGTACAGTTAAAGGAGAAACAGAAGTAAAATCCACTTGACTATAAACTCTTTGTGAGCAAAGGCTATGACTTACTCATTCATCTTTGTAACCACAGCACTTAGCACGGTTAGCAGCACAGACCAGATCCTCAATGTTTACTGGGTCAAAACAGTAGCAATTAGTGTCACAGAAGCTGGAAGAACCATTTAAAGCAGCTAATCCCAAAGTCCCCCATGCGTCCGTCAGTTTGTCGTACTGTGGGGGCTTGTGTGCTGCTGTGATGCTGGAAGCTATGCCACCGGTATTTAAATACCAGCAGGGCCACCCATGGCAGACAGGTTTCAGATGAGCTTCCAGACTAAGACACACTAGGAAGAAGGACCCGGTGGTCTACTTCTGAAAAGAATTAGCCAGTGAAAACCTTATGAATAGCAGCAGAACATTGTCTGATATAGTGCCGGAAGATGAGCTCCCCCCAGGCTGGAAGGCACTCAAATTACGACCAG